AGGGAGCAGCAACAGCAGCTGCCCCCAGCCCAGCATCCTTCCCCTGGTCCAACCTCAGGTCAGGTTCTCTTCTGCCAACACCTCCTCATACTTACGAAGCTTCTTCGAAGGCTCGGACCTTCTCACATCCCTCTGGAGGTTCCCGTTTAAACATGTAGCTGTGGTTGGGTCGAGGAGAAGAAGCAAAGGCCAGGACTGGTGAAAGGCTGCCCTCCTCTAGCAGGGAACAAAAAAGTTGTTGAGAATGTTTAGAAGAACCTGGCAGCGCAGTAACTCAACAGGGAACAAGTTCTCTTAGACCCTGGGGCTGCAGGCTACAAACCCCAAAGGCAGAGCAACTGCTTTGTGCAGTTTCCAGCTCCCATCCTCCATTTAGTACCGGAAACCACCCCCCTGGAGGGTAATTACTGGAGCTTTAGGAGTCCACCAAGGATTAGCCCAATTGGCTGAGACTCCTTCCACCTCAGCTGCAGCTTCAACCCAGCCCTCAGAGCAGGAGGAACTGCTGCACTGAGGTGTTGGTAGCTCTGTCCCCTCTTGCCTGCCCTGAGCTCCCAGCCCCTCTGCCGTCAGTCTTTACCTTTCTCCTTCGGCTCTGGCTGCACCTCGTCTGCTGCAGAGGAGGGTTCTTCTGCTGCCAGTCTCACCGGGGTGGGCGGAGAGAGGTGGAGAGGCACGGAAGGGGAAGGAGAAAGAGAGAGGCTGGTCTGCCACTGCTGGCCTCCACGGTCAGGGATGCATCTCCAGAGCCGCGCTGGGCAGGTGCTGGTGCCCTGTGGCCATCTGGGACATCCAGTATCTAGGGGAGAAGCAAAATCTTAAGAGGAGTAAGAAACCCCTGTCGCCAGTGACGAGGTTTAACAGCAGTTGCACCCAGGGATGGCAGCGACTTGGGATGTGCTGGATCCAGCTACAGGCAAAGCCTCCACACCAGGGAGCGAGGCAGGAAGGACATTGGCCCTTCCATCTCCTGTCACGCTGAGATCACCAGCTGATCTCTCCCAGCACCAGCAAGCTTTAAGGAGGGAAGCGAGCAGACCCTTGACCCAATCTAGACTGTTAAAACTAGACACAGAGACCGTCCCCGTGGCCAAGGAGCAGACACAGGCAGTGTCTGGAGAGGAAAGGATTTCCAAGACCACCCAGAAGATTCAGGGCAACCTTCACTCACCCGCAATAGCTCTTCATCTCCCTGCTCCTTCACAAACGCTTCCTCCAGTTCCTGGTTTAGCCCTTCGAGGCTCCTATGCAAGCAGGGGCTGAGCCTCAAAACGGGGGATGGAGAAAGGAAGCCTGAAGGCGAGGCCTGCAACAATGCAGAATCACACAAGTGAAGAGCTCTGTCTGCACAAACTTGGCGGCTGCATCCTGCTCCTGCAGCTCTCCAGGGCTCGCCCAGAGCCTCCCCGGAGGCTGAGGGGAGAACAGCGACAGCGGAGTCCTGCAAACTCCCTACATGCACATCAAAGCACAGGGAGGTGTTGAAGAGGTGGGAGAAGAAGAGGAAAAAAATTCTCCCCCTTCCCAGGTGTGAGCAGAAGCCTGAGGACAGCCTTGGACACCTGCCCAAAGGAGATCGCTCTCCGCCTCACTAGGACAGCAGAGCGGGGGGAGACGTGGACGTACCCTGAGCGATCCAAGGACAGCACGGTCCCCCTGGAGCGGGGAGCTCTTCTCCTTCTCTTTGCCACTTCTGCCATTTAGCTTTGTTCGCTGGAGCTGCTGCTTCAGTTTGGCAATCTAGCAAACAGAGTTTGAGCTACAGAACCGGACAAGCCAACACACCTCCACCAACAAGGACCAGGCCTCATCTGTCTCCAACCCCCTCTCTTCCAACCCCCTGAGGAAGCGCCAAAATAAAGGCGTTTTCAGTGACACAAGCAGCAGCTCTGGCCACCTCCCATTTGTGAACGGCCCCGCTGCAACACGGCCAGAACCTTCCTCTGACGGACCTGGGTGATGGGGAGCAGGGACCCAGGCCCTGCCGGGACCCACGTGTGCCACGACAGCAATGAGCAACGTCCTGAGTTTCAGTGGAGCTACTTTATCACAGTTCCTGCTAGAGGAACCCAGCAGGACCAGCGTTTGGTTCCAGCACAGGGCGTTACAGCTGAGAACAAGGGCTAAGGTCTCCTCTGCGACAGCAGCCTGTCCTCCCGCTCCCCTCCCACACAAGCAGGAGCCTCCTCTCCGTTAGCAACCAGCCCAGACCTTGCTCAAGCCTCGGGAGCGGCCTCTTTTACCTCTCTGCGGTGATCTGTGCTACCCCAAGAAGCAGAACGCTTGTGAGCACTGGCGCTGGCTTTCCCCACTTCTGCGTCATGCCAGGACACCGGAGTCTGAAGTGACGAGAAACACGGCTGAGAATCATCACAACATTTACTGGCTCGGTGGCTGCTGGTACAGTCCTAAAAACAAGTGATCGACTCCTGCCCGCTCACAGTCCTGTGCTGCTCTCCCCCCGTTAATACAAGGCTCCATGAGGTGCGTTAAGGGGCAGCTGCCCGGCTGTATGTGCCAAACCAAGTCCCTTTGGCCAGATTTGTGCCTGTTCGGGCAACTGAACCTCCCAGACCTACACAGCAAGAGAGCGGCCCTGAAGTCAGTGGCTTCATCACCACAAGGACCCAGGAAACCCATTACTCCAGAGAGAAGAAAAATAAGAAGAAGAACACTAAAAAAAGCAGCCTCCCCCTGTGCTGCTCGCAGCGGTGACGCAGGGTTTCAGGCACTCGGTGTTCGAAGCAGCTTTACCGAGAGGAAAAGCCTCACCCAACCGCGAGAACACGCGACTCGCTTCGGAGACCTCAGGCTCCCACATCGGAGGTCAAAGACTTAACTGAGCCCAGAGCTCTGGGCGCAGAGAGGACCCAGCTGCCTCCCGGGGTGCAGGGCTGGTAGCTCTCCGCTGACTCTCTTCACCCAGAAAAAACAGCCTCAGCACCCTCAGCTGTGTTCGCTGCACATCTGTGCTCAGCTGCCTTTTGAATATCAGTGGGGCTCAGAACGGGCTGTTCATCTGAGCAGCAAAGGGTGTGAACTTCCTTCCACTGAACTCAGGGAGGCTCCGGCATCGGAGCAGTCCCAAGCTCACCGTTTCAGAGACCAGCCATCATCACTTTTTCCCCAACATCACATCTCGGTGCCTCTCCAAACGCTGTGTGGCTGCTGCCTGCCATTTCTGGGGGAGGCTTTGGATGATCTTTCCCTCCTCCAGCCCCAGCGACAGGCTGCCAGAAGGTGCAGGGGCCTGAGAACAGTTCCTCTCCTCAGCTTCACTGATCTCTCCCCAGAGGCTACTGCAAGAACAGCAGCTGTTTCAAACAACCCTGTTGAGTCATGGGGATGACAGAAGCCTCTTCTCTCAAAACAGGTTTTAAAAATTTATTTAAAACCCGAAGAACATGGCAAGTTACCTCCAGAAGTACCAGGTTTTCCTTCTGGAAAGGGCTACAGGCAATTTCTACGCAGAAATCCAACCCTCTCCTGGCTTAACGAGCTCTGAATGAACCCCCCCTCCTCACACACCGCGTTTCCTACAGCTAAAGCCATTTCTTGTCTGGTTCTCCACTCTGCAGGGCCTGTAAGCAGCAGACGTCGTGTTCTATTCCGTTTCCAGTGTTCGCTTTGGTTCCAGAGAAGGAATCTGTCCAGCTGGAGCCCCGAGCCAGACAGAGCTGAGGAACAGCCCAACGCCACAGGAAATCCTACGCCAAGGCCCAGCCCCGCAGTTCGAGCGCATGGCACATCTGAGCTCATTTCCTACCTCAAATATTCTCCCTTGAACCACCCCAAGATCATTACTTGGCCGTTATCCCAAAACGTTGTGTCATTTTATGTCCCAGTAGATCACACATATAAGAAAGCCGAGGGGAAGGGGCAAAGGTCTAAGAGACCAGACCGCAGCCCGATCCCACGTTTGTGCAAGAAGCAAGCCTGGGAGAAGCTGAATTGCAGCTGCTGAGAACAACCCTTCTCTGGAGGACACGACAAACTCTCCTCAAGTCCCTGGAAACCTCCTGAGGCCCCTTAGAGACGTCGCTTATTGCAGCCTGTTGCTGCTGATACCCAGAGCAACCAGTGCTGGCAAAAAACCTCAGGCCTAAAAAGGAAGAAAAAGGCTCCGTTTGCAATAGGAAGGCCTGAAAACGAAGAGCGTGTCCGCGTCCCACCTCTCGCAGGGGGACTGTCAGGGCAAAAGGAAATTACAGAACCTTTTGTACTAACCGTGGCAAAACCGCTTCCTCCGAAAAGGGAGAGAAAAAAAACCAAAACGCTTTGCACGGCGAGATAAAGCCAGGAGCTCCCATCGCGTGCGGCGCTGCCGTCCTCACCCCACAGCCAGCACCTGCGCTTCTATCTCGCGCTTAACCGCCTCGCGATAGCAAACCTGCAGAGCCCTGCAGAACAGCTGATCGGGGGCCGAATGGGGAGGGGAGTAAACAAGAGCTGGTTAGCAGAGAAAGTCCTGAGTTTGCTGGCTCTTAACCCTGAAAACACGGAAGGAGCGGCAAAGCCCCAGAGGATCTGACGGGGAACGTTCCATCGCTGTGCGGGGCAGCCCAGGACCGAGGACTTTATTCCCAGCTTTCCACAGGGAGGTCACCTGGCACGCCGAGGGGTTTGTGTGTGAAACAGCAGAGATCACAGCTCTGCCTCCCAGGTGTGTCGCAAGGTGAAATGAGCATTTGCAAGGCACTTGCAGTTAAGTGAGGAAAGCGTAGAGAGCCATCAGCTCCCTGCGCCAGAGCCCAAAAATTAACACGGTGGTATCTTCCACTCCAGGAAGAAGGAGGTGCCTCTCTTCTCCAAGCCTTTCCCCAAAGGGGCCACATGCAAAAAACTCCCACCTAATTAGCCCCAAACCATGGGGGTTAAGTGTTCCCACTGGTGCTGATGAAGACAGAAAGGAAGAGTGTGCTTCCCGGACTCAAAAATAAAGTTAGACAAATTCTTTCCCTTCCTTTCCAGCCTGTCCTCCGCCCTCGGCAGCGCTCTTGGGCACTAGAACCGCAACAAAAGCGGGCAAGGATACCTTGGGAAAGGACAATGGAAGCTGGAATCCAATTGAGAATTTCCTGCAAACAGCTCCAGTGATAAACTGCTGAACAGCCAAGATCAAACAGCGAGTCAACGGAGACTGAACGCGCTAAATAAACCACTCGTTAAGCAAACGGATGCTCTTATCCTTCTAAATTCTTTCAGCCCCGCAGATAGGCAAGCGCTGTTTGCTGCCACACAGTAATATTTACAGGTTGCTAAGAGTTCCTCGAGGTTTGGAGCTTTTCCATCCTGCGGCAGAGCTGCACCGGCCGTTCTAGCGAGCCCTTCCACGGGAGCACCCTTGACTTCGCGCAGCGCGTGGCACACGGCCCGCGAGTGTTATATAAGGACTTGGCCTGGAACTGCAAGCCAGGGGAAAAAAAAAAATAGGATGGAGCCGGTAGGGGAGCAGAAAGCCAAAGGCCATCTGCCTCCAAACAAGGCCAAGGAAATTCTAACTGCACCAGAGTGGAATCAATTGAAGCCGAGATGCAAAAGAGGGGAAAAAAAGCCTTCCTAGAAAGTTGCAGCTGGATGGACGGAAATTCAACGCCCTCCCTGCTCGCCCTCGGTTTACACAGCTCGTGGGGGTTCTGCAACCCTCTTCTGGCCCAGAGGTTCCAGGAGCAGGCTGCGGGCGTTCGTACCTGGGTCGCTTTGTCATTCATGCACGAAGTGGAAGCTCCTTCGGCGTCCCTTGGCCACTGTCCCAACAGGTAGGAGCCCACGATGGTGTCCAGCGACGAGGTGCGCCGCACGCGGGGCTGCCGGGGCCGGCAGCTCTTCTCCCCAGCGGCAGCGCAGGGAACACTGGCTACGCGAGGGGGAGAAGAAAAGAAAAGTCAGATTCCCAAAGCCAAGGCTCACCCGCCGCTATCGCGACCAACAAGCCCCCGCTGATTGCAGGAAGGGAACTGCCGGCACAGCCTGGAGAACTCCGCTGATTTTTTGGGAACAGGAGTCCTTTTAGTTCTAACGCACCCGGTGAGTTCCCGCTCTCAGCGCAGCGATGGCATCTCCCTGCTGAGGCCGCGTTGCGCCGGCTCTCAAAAACCGGCAGTGACAGAACCAGCGCTTCAGCTGAGGGGGCCGGCGCAGCGACTGCCCCCCTGCCCCTCTGCTCTGCTGCCGAAAGCCGTGTTCCTGCTTATCCCAGCGAGCCCGCTGCTCGGGAAGCAGAGATTTTACTGCAGTCCTTAAGCGCCTGCTCGGACATTCCAAAGTCGAGGAAGCTGCTACACAACCAAGTGCAATCCCCGACGTGGCCACGCTGCTTTTGCACGGGCACTGGTGAAAAACAAACACTTGGTTGTCCTCCAGGCTGTGTTTCTTAGGAGGCAGAGTGCAACACGGAGCCAGAGAACCCGGGTGCTCACCCCCAGTAGGACCCAAGAGCAAAAGGAAGGCTGCGTGCCTCAGCTTCCCCCACGGAAGCTTGAAGGAGGCCAAGAGGCCAAGTTTTGGACCCTCCAGCGGGACTGTGAGTGCTTGGTGTCATTGGCATTCCTTTCTCCCCAAAATAAGGGCACAGCAGGCAGGGACGGAGTTAACCACACTAAAACCACCTTCAAACCGTTGTGTTTGCCAAATACCTTTGCATACAAAGGTGCTGAGAGGGTTCCAGGGACACGGCCTGTTAAAATATGTCTTTTTATCAGCTAAAATACCATTTGAGCAGTGGAATTTGAGTTCTAGGTGAGAAAAGGGTAGGAACAAAAAGCCACGTGGGAGGGCAAGCGAGGCATTAGTCCTTGCATGACAGCCACACCTCGTAAGGTCCACACTGGATTAAAGGCTTTTTGTGTTGGGTCCAGCTGGCGCTTCGAGGCACAGTCCCTGCTCCCGAGAGCTACCACTGACTCTAATTTAGAAACTCATTAGTATTTGCAGCTTCCTCTTCAGCACCTCATTCTCCCCACCGAGCTACGTCACTCGCATCTCCGTGACGCAGGACTTGAGCCGGCTCTTCCTCTGCTGCTGCTCTGCCCAGCAGAAGAACCCAACGCCGCGGCACCGACAGCGCACGTGCCCCCAGACCGCCCCGAGAGACCCCCTTCGATAGAACCGTTGTGTCCCCAAGTGACCGGGGTCGTGCCGAACTTTAAACTGGGCAGCACAGCCCAAAAGGACGTCAGAGCAGACAGGACAGAGAGCAGAGGCGAGGTGGCCGCCTGCGGTGACAGCGCATCAGCCGACAAACCCCTGAAGCTGTGACTGTACCTACAGCAAGAGCCGCTGCTCCTTCTCACGGGAGGGTTCGGGCGGGAAGGGATTTTCAGGGTGACACCATGATCTGCCAAGACTCTGGAACAAACCGTCCAGAGAGGTTGCAGATGTCCCCTCCCTTGAGACATTCAAGGCCAGGGTGGATGAGGCTTTGAGTAACCTGGGCTGGTTGAGAGGCGTCCCTACCCATGGGGGGTGGGTGAGATCACAGAATCCCAGAATCATCCAGGTTGGACAAGACCCTTGGGATCATCGAGTCCAACCATTGACCCTACTTGCAAGTTCACCCCTAAACCATCTCACCCAACACCACATCCAAGCGATGCTTAAACACACCCAGGGATGGCGACTGACCCCCCTCCCTGGGTAGCCTGTTCCAATATCCCACAGCTCCAACGTCTCCAAGGTCTCTTCCAACCCAGGATTCTACGATCTAGTGATGAACACCCATCACGCAGCACAACGCCGCCACCCACGGATTCATCTTGCTCTTGAGCGGGACCGCAGGGTCCCCAGGGGCAGCAGGGAGACGCCGCCACCAGGTCCCTGCTCCGAGTGCGAAGGCTGGGGCAGGGTGGAGCGTCCTGTGTAGAACTCCTGGCAATTATCACCCCCCTCCCCGTGCACAGCGGCCACCTGGCCACCAGCTCCGGAGTGGGTCCAAGCCAGCTCCCCAGCTGAGAAGCGTCAGGCTGTGGCCCTTTTAACTTTTCGGGTGACGGCGGAGCTGCTGCAGGTAACGCAGCCGGTCGCCGTATCGCCCAGAGCCACTTGGCTGCAGCCACAAGCTAGAGACTGGCGCAACTCCAGAGGTTAAAGGTAGAAAAAGTTTTCAGTACTGGAGTTCTAGATTTGCGACATCCCTGGTCTCTCTCTAGGTCAGCCAATCTCTGCATCTGAAGAGAAAATAAAAGCCTTCGCTTTTTCCAGAGTCCCTTTTCCATGAAGAACAGCTGAATCAAAAACAATGACGAGCAAAAACCAAAAAAGTTCCCATTACTAGTTTTTTTTAGAGTCTTAAAGTTTTCTTCCTTCCCTTTCCAGATTTCACCCTGGGGAAACCGACCTGTCCTGATTTCTTGTTTTAAAACGCCAAATGTTCTTAACACCCTCTGGAAGTCCTGCGCGGGTGCCTCGACATGCACAGGCCTTCCAGAGGGTGTTAACAACAGCAAGCAAGCCTCAGAAATACGTATTGCGTTATTTCCTTTTTCTGCAGAGAGCTTAAGAGGAGACGAAGAGGGGTCTCCATAAAAACCCCACAGGGCTTCCGAAAGGATCTCCAGTACCAGATGGGCAGCAGGAGCACTACAAGCAGAAGGTTGGACGCAGTCTGCATTTTCTAAGGAAAAGAAAAATCTCCTAAGGCACAGAAGGAAAGTTCTGTTCATCAGTAAATGCAACAGAGAAGAAAACGCAGCAAGACAACCAGTTAGAATCGCTAGGTAAGAACAGTTTGAAGGTTAAGGGGCTTCAAAGAGGAGAACGAACCTGGAATTCGTGGGCAGATGAAAAAGCAACAACCTACACAACCTCTGGCTGCTCCTGCAAGTTATTATGTCCTCAGCAGCATCAAGTCTTTTCACCTCAGGCCCCTGCAAAAAAAGTATTCTACAGCTCTCTCTCTCTGTATTTTTAAATTCTAATCCCTTTGCCTTTAAAGAAGGTTTTACAACCAAAGGGAAATTCACACCCACGCCAGGACAGGATTTCACAGCTCTGTGCTCGCTTCAGTAAACACTGGTACAGAAATGCAAAACCCTCAAAGCGCTGAAATCCATCGCACCTTCCGGCGGAGAGGCAGAAGCTGCGGTTAAACCACCCGGCCCTCGCGACTCTTGCTCAAACCCAAAGCACAGAGACACCCAGAAAAGTACCTTCTGTTCCCGAAGCGCAGCCCTGTGCGAAAACCCGCAAGAACCCTTCGGGACCAAGCCAGGAAGGAGGAACCCGCAGAGGAGGGGCTCCAGGGAAGCAAAAATCTCAAGGGTGAAGAGGATCCTACGGCGGGTCAAGGAGCTGCGTTCCCACCTGACGCAACTCAGGGAGGATTCGCCCCTTGGGCTTCGCCAAACCGGCCCCAGAGCACAGGGGAAGAAATTCCAGAGTTGGAATCGCTCCGCCGGTTACACACAGCGTTACGAGTACAGCTGGAGAGAGCTGCCCAAAGGATGCAGCATCTGCACATATCGTTGAAGGAAATTATTAGGGGACACCAAGTTCAAGCTGTGTCTCTTTTTTTTTTTTTTCCTTTTGGAAGCAGAAAATTTTAAACCAGCAACTCCCCCCG